ATTGGGCGAGGCGGCTGTCAATGCTGGTAAGCGGGGCCGCCCCTCCCACCGGCGTCGGGGAGCGCGGCCTCGTATTGCCGCGGAGCCTGTCATGGCGACGGGGGTGGGAGTCCCCGGGTATGGGGTAGTGGCGTCGGGAGCAGACGCCTTCCATGGGGCCGGAGGCAACGTCCTCCTGTCCCAGCACTCCCCGAGTCCGGCACACGTGGGCCTGGAATTACCCAGGCTGTGTGCCAGCCCCACAGTGGGGTTCCTGTTGCCAGCACCACCCTCCACATGTCTTGCTGGGCCGTGGTGCCCCACACGGCATCCTCAGAGCTGTTCCGAGGCCGTTTCCAGGGGAAAATGCACAAGGCGTTTACCTTTGTTGAACATAACTCCTCGCAATCACAGAGGGGTTTGGCTTGAAGCAGCCTTCCTGGTTTCTAAAATGGTGCCCTGGGTTAATTTGCCAAGGGCATGAGTATCGTGTTAGCTCATAGCAGCAGGAGGCATTTTCTGGGGCCAAATATTGACAAATACTGTTGCCTGCCCTTTACCAGGATTCATTGGTGGCCCATGCACTCCTCATACGGCCAGCAGCAGAGTACTGCGTTCACTGATTCAAAGGGCTGGAAGCAGGGAAGTAGATAGTGCATTGCAGTGCATGTGTAAAATATTCGTGGAGGGGGTGAGACTAAGAAGAACAGTAACGAGGACAGTGAAATAATGGCAAGGATTTAGCAGAGAGACTAATTGACTTTTATTAAGGCTCTGGCGGTTACACCTGGAGCAAAAGAACTAGACCAAATCCACAAGTTGTAATGGGGTAAGGAGACCTAGAAAGCAGAAATACAGAAAAGGAAACAGGGCAGGCAGGGAAGGGCAGGTTTGTGCCTGTCCTTATGTAATGGAGGAGTTTGCCATCAGCAAAGAGCGATGGACTGTGGGATTACATGTGCAGAGCTGAGTAAAAAATTAGGAAAGTAAAAAGCCCTGCCTTTGCCCTTAAATTAAACACTCCATTCAGAAAGACGGTGACAAAACCATAGTTCAGAGAAGGCAGCGCAAGTAATAAGTGAGGGTATGAGATTAGACAGCAAACAAATCCTCCAGGGCCTGGTGACATTTGCATACAAGGAAACAAGAAAGCCACATGTGTGCAGGTGGCTACGCAATGAATCAGGCGTCACTGAAATTTGCAGCTAAGCACCTTCTGTGCCCCGAGGAAAGTCCTAGTGCCGCCTCCGGGCACGAGAAGCTTTCTGCAAGATGAGAGGAGAAGTGAGAGCAGAACCTGGCCATGAGCAACACGAGTCCAGTGGGAGTGAGAGCCATCAGGGAGACGGGGATGAAATTAAGGATGGTTCAGTTTAGGGTGAGCAGCAGAAAGATATTAACAGCTGATGATGTGGCAGAACGCATGATAATATTTTGTGCCCTGCTGTGGGGCACTTCATGCACTTGGCTCTGCTGCATGCCGTCCTCTGCCCTCTTCTCCCTCTGTTTAGAGCTCCCTGGCTTTCCTGGCTGTCAGATGTATCAGTATCAATCAAGGTAATATTTGGAAACAGTTTCTCTTACACCACTATGGGAAATGATTCACATTATATCAGTTTTTGATACTGAACATACTCTTTCACAGGACACTTGTGTGGCAGAAGCCAGGCCAGCAAGAGACAGTCAATGACATGAACATCTTTCCTCTCTAGTGTCCGTGCTTTGAACTGGAGGTAGAGGTGACACAGGCTCTTTGTAATTTCATCCTGTTATTTTGAGTCACACCAGGATCATTATCAGCAGGACTTTTTTTCAGACAACAGAAGGCATATTACCCTCAATGGCATTTCCTTTTTAAAACAGCGCTCTGTGCTTTGATCAACATGTATAGGACAGATGAAGAGTTGGGTGCAGTTTGATTTGATTTAACAAGCCTGGGATATGAGAAAAAGGAAAGCAGTTGCATAATATATAGTTCTGGATGCATGAGTGCAGTCCACAAACGTTCTAGATACAGCAGAGGCAATATTTATGGAGGTAACCTTGAAAGCAGATTATAGGCATGTCCAAACAGATTTCATATCCTGAAGTCTCCAGACTTAAACTGAACACAAGATTAAGTTGCTTTGCACAGTGACCGGCAGCTAGGAAGAGTGTATAAAATTCTCAAATTTAAGTTTTGAGGAAAGATGCCATCTAAAACTAACTGAGGCTTGGATTTCATTCACTTCCAGTTTACAGCCTTGGCGTGGTTTTGAAAGAGCTATTAATCTGACCTTTGCAAGTTCTCCTTGTGCTCTGTATAAATAAGCCTTGAATATCCTTAGCTTGTATTGCTTGAGGGCCCGAGAGGCATTCACTTATCCTTCCCTCTACAAGTGTGTCTGCTTCTGCCACATGTCAAGCATCTGGCTTAAAAGGGACCTGGAGATGAAATGCCACGATGGGCATCCTGCAGAGACCCTCAGCGCTGAGGTCAATGGACAGCGGCAAAACAGCTTCAGCACAGCAAAGGTTTTGATCTGTCCCCAAGCAGGGCAGCAGAGAGGCTGGCAGCAGTGAGCATAGTCATGAGGAGAACGAAATAACCTCACAACGTGCTGAGGGGGTTTTGCCATTCAGATATGGATATGTCGGTGTGGGGGTAAGAAAGAAGAACTGTGAATAGCTCCTGAGGCCTGGGGGTGTGTGCAGGAGCCGTGCCTACGGTCAATGCTTGGAAACTGGCATGGGGCCGTGGGAATCCGCTGGAATTCATCCCCTCAGGAAGTTCTCATCCACATATAGCACTTCCTCCCCTGGCACCAGCCGCGCCCAGTGCCATGCTCCCATGCTACGAGCCACGGTCCGTAGGGGCACAGTTGGAGAGGAATTGAGAGTAGTGGGCAGAGAGGGGCCACACCATCCCAGGAGATCCTCTCTCACATCCTGTGTGATGAGGGCCAGGACATGGACCCTGTCTGTCAAACATCTCCACACCTGTTTCACTGTATTGAAGTGGAAAGTTAAAAACCTCACCAAAACTTATGGTCCTATGAATAGGGCCAGGAGGAACCTTAGGGCATCGCTTAGCCATCTCCTGCCCCAACACAGGATCAACTCTGCTAAAAACTCTTTATGCAGGAGCTTGCCTCGTGCATTTTTTTTAAATCCTCAGCGTTGGAGAGTCCTTCCTCAAGCACCTATTCCAGGATTTAACCATTCTCACACTTAGAATGTCTATCCTGAATTGCCCTTGTTGCAAACTGAGCTGGCAACATTTTGTTCTAATCCCCCTGGGTAAGACAAATGTATTCCCTTCCTGTTTGTGGCAGCCTTTTATGTATTTGGAAACGGTTATCATGTGTCCCTGCAGCCAACTCTTCCCCAGACTGAAGGCGCACTGTTCCTGCTGTCCTCCTGCAAAGCCAGACCCCTGGCTGTTTCCGACATCCCGCTGGAGTCTCGCCATCAGGCCTCACCTTTCTCAAAACATGGTACCCAGTGGCATTTGTACGCTGCAGAGGGTTAGCTACCCCATCTTGCCTACGTGCATACGTCACAGTGGGATATATTTGCCTTTTTCACAGCAGCACGGCATTGACTCTTTGATCTACTGTATTCCTGGATCTTTATCTGTAAAAGGGCTGGCTAGCCAGCAGGTTCCCATCTTGCGTTTTCACGGATGATTACTCCTACCTCAGTACAGTATTTTGCACTTGCCTGCATGGACTTGCACCCCACATTTTGACGAGTCTTTTTCTGTTTCGTCAAGAGCATTTTCACTTCAAATCCTGGCCTCCAGAATATTTGCGGCTCCTCCCAGATGGGTCCCGTTTGCCAAAGACATAAGGATAATTTTTTATTCTTGGTCCTGGGTCGTTAATAAGTGTTCCTAAGTGCTTGCAGGACCAGGGCTCGGGTGGGGTGGGAGAAGACAGGGTGGAGGACATGTAATGGGGGTGGCCCTGACCGGCTCCTGCTGGGCACCCCTTCGGTGTGGTCCCAGCGCTGGCTGGTGGCCAATGGCGAATGGGCAGCGGCACTCATCGGGCAGAGGGACAACCCAACCCGGCGGGGTGAGGAAACGACGGCCGGTGCTTCGGATGCCCGCCTTTGTCTCTAGGCGGG